TTTTTGTTTCCAAAAAATCAATTATAGTTTCAAAGACGACAACTGAGCTGAACCTGAAGTGGTCGGACATATCACCCGTGAAACTGTACGACAAACTAAAATTACCCCAATTTCTCATCACTAATGTCAGCACAAGTCTGTGTAAAGAGACGTTTCACATCGGTTTGTATGACCCATACATTCACAACGAGTTTATGCGCTAATTATGGCCACAATTGTCGACCACTTTCTGGTCTCCCGTCTAAACCCTAACCCAAACGACAGGTGAATACAGTTGTCTTAAGGCCGAGTTCTACCTCCAGAGAGCACTGGGATATCATTTGGTGCAGTCATACCTCCCGACTATACTCATAGTAGTCATCTCATGGGTCAGCTTCTGGCTGGACGTGGAGGCCATACCCGCCCGCATCACCTTAGGGGTTACGACCCTACTCACCATCTCGTCCAAAGGTATACCACCATTAATAGCCAGTAAACAATTAGAGGCGCCGGTAGTCAAGAATATTTTGATATTTATATTTATCATTAGAAAACATTTTCTGTGGTTTAGGGGCTGGTATTCAGAGTAATTTGCCGCCCGTTTCGTACGCCAAGGCTATAGACGTATGGATGGGCGCCTGTACTACCTTTGTATTCGCGGCACTACTCGAGTTCACCTTGGTCAACTATTTATGGCGTATCAGTAGTACTAAACCCAATACCGACTGTCCACGTGTGAGCCATTCATTTACACTAATTGCCAAAAAAGATGATAATTTATACGAAAAGTCAATAGAAATTCAAATATTATTTTACAAATAGTTTTAATCTCTTTTGTAACAAAGTTTTTCTCATTTTTTTCATTTCAAACATGTTTTGCATTCAAACAACTAATTAATACTGAAATCAGAGGAAAGGGATTGAGGCCCAGGAGTGCAACAAAAAACCGTTTTGTATTATCTCGGATGGGAACGGGATTCCGGATTATCAGACATCGGGTGCAGACATTGGTTCCCGGACTTCGGGAACACCCGAACGGATAGACATCATAAGTCGTGTGATGTTTCCGATGATTTTTCTGGTGTTTAACCTAATCTATTGGCCCTATTATCTCATACTCATTGCACCATAAGTTATCAAGCTCATTATTAAAACAATTGATTATGTTAAATACACCTATCAAAATTCACAGTTATAATAAAATGCAATTAACTGCTATAACATAAACACTTTACTGTTTAGAAAATATTGTTTATTGTATATTTAATTTTGTGTTTTAAAGTGTTATCTAATACATGTTTTGTAACACATTTTAAATGCATATTTTAGAAAAGTATTTTGTTTAATTTACATATGGAAATATAAAAATAATAATAATGTGTAACAATGCATTATATTTATATTAAAATTAATTATTAAAGTTAGATATTTAATTATGCATGGCTATTAAATTTATTGATAACTTAATATTGATGTGATCCACGACAGATCACATCTTGGTTTACCCCGACCCAGCTAAAGGGACCCAGCTACACAAATTACACAAATAGTTTAAGTTGATTTAATCCGTAAAGTCTATGAATTGATACTTCATAGTAGTTAAGCACAACTAAGCACTGGTCTAGATCAGATTGCATGTAATGCTTACATAATAAATATTTTGTTTACATTTAAATTATTATTTTATTTTATCCATGATCAATATAGTAGAAAGTATTTAGTAAATACCAAAATGTATTAAATATTATATAGTTCAAAAAGAAAAATAAATTTTTATTACATTTCTACGAAATGTCAGTTATTTGTCGTAAATAATAATAGCACTGTTCGTTAGATTAGGATTTATATCTATATATACTTGCTCGATATTCGTGGTGGATATGTTTGATATTAAATTATAACAAATATTTATGTTTTTATTAAGTCTTATTGTCTGCCAATACTTTAAAACATATTTTGTAATATTACTGAGCAGTTCATATTTTTAATAATCCTAAGAAAATTAATCTTAAAATGCAATAAATACTATAAGTATTGTTATTATATTGAAATTCAAATAAGCATAACTGAAGTGATAAAAGCTAAAGCATATCTAACCGTGTTAAATGAATATATTTTTAAAACAATTATACTGTTTATCATTAAAAGACTACAAATAAAACAAAACTGCATTGAGCATATTAAAAATGAAGCACACAATTAGATACTATCAAGTCTAGACAGGGTGTCCAGGATCTTTTGAGAGGTATCATTTTGACTGCGGCTTAGATCCCGGGCCTCGCGTCTAAAATCTCCGAACTCCAGATGCAGGTCATGCATGGATTCCCGGACTTCCTGTCGGATACTCTCGATCTCAGCCCTCATTTCAATCCTGCTCTGCTGCTGATTGATTGAAATCCTCATGGTATTCAACAGACCCATGAAGAAGCTCAACGACTTCTGACCCTTGGTCAATGCACCGACCACTTCATCAATCACCGCAATAGCCGGACTAGTTTTAATGCATGCGGTCGCGCAGTCGTATATAGAGAAGGCCACACCCACAGCTGCCAACGCTCCGGCCACGCCACCCAAAACCTCTGGCGACACCTTGATCAATTTTGGGGCTTTTTCGAACGCATTGAGACCGTACTTTTTCAACGATTGCACCACAGTAGCCCCAGTGTAGCTCGATGTAAATGGCGCTTGATACTTTATGTGCGGACGCATTGTATTGGGGGGAAGCTTACCCACGAAACGCTTGTCATTTTGAAGCATGGCTATAATGAGCACCAAGGTGGCGTACTCCTCGCTCATTCCCGACTCAATCAGTCGTATGCGTTCCCGCTTGAACGTCTCCTTTCTCTCGTACACAATCGTAGCCGTCGACTTCAAGTTATTTGACAAGTTATTCACCTTGCTAACAATCTTTTTCACTTCGCGATCATTATCCCTATCACACTTAATATTGCCATAGATCGCGGTTAGGTTTGTGGCCAAAACTGCGCCAGCAACTATTAAATTGACTCCGGGTATAACTGCGGCGACTCCACCCGCGATTAAGCTAGTACATGACACGGTGCACCATAGTACTTTATCGCCCCTATACTTATCCTGTTGAGCCTCGGCGTCCACTTTGCGGTCGCGGAGTTTGCGTTTCAAGTTAATCATCTCGTCCATTTTTGTTTGGCACTCGTTTATTAACAGTAGTAATCGGTGCGATAGTTGACTCAAGTCCATAGTGTCCAGTTCAGCAATTATGCTTCCGTACGGAATGAGCTCGGTAGTTTGTGTGGTGGTGTCTACAATGAGTTCGGTAGTGGGTTCGGTAGTGGATTCGGTAGTGGGTTCGGTAGTGGGTTCGGTAGTGGGCTCGGTGATATCTATAGTGTCCGACGACATTTTTGTATGGTACTTGTTAAATTTAAAAAATAATTTCTTTAACATACAATTAGAAAGTGAATATTTTGGCCAAGTTTACATTTAAATTACTTTTAAGAATGTCAATTTTGCTTTAATACTAAAAATTTATTTTAGTCATATCAAAGTTTGTTTTTTAATATTTTAATTCATATGATTTTCTGACTCAACAAATATGATTACAAATTATAGCAAAATATTTAATACATGAATTTAAAATTAATATTAATGCTACTGTTTATTAAATTTTTATAATATGATATAAAACATACTGTATACCACTTGTTCTCAATTTGTCACTTAAGTGACAACTAGCCTTGAAACAACTTTCAATTATAAAGCATTTGATTCAACACTAGTTATTTTATTAATTAATATCACCTTACTCACCTTACTAATCAATATAATATTTTATTTCAAAACTAATAGGTTGACAATTCATATATGAATATTTGTTAATTATAAGTATATATAAAATAAACAAAAAATAAAATAGTCATGTTTAGACACATATTATAACAAATTAATAGTCTATTTTGTCTCTTTTATAATTTGTATGAATAAATAATTTTATAATTATGATTTTTAACTTTAAGTGTTAGAGATTAACAAAATAACTAGTGTTGAATGAAATGCTTTAAAATGCAAAGTTGTTACAAGGTTAGTTGTCACTATATTTATAGAATGAGAACCACTGCTGTATACTCACTCAATATAAATTGGAAACTTAAAAATGTATGCAACATTAATTTAAACTTAATTTTTAGTTTAAATCAATAATAATTTCATTATCAAAACATAGAGTAGTATTGTACTAGTACAATTTTACTGTTATAATTCATTTAATTGGCTTTGTTTTCTTAGTATTGATTAAATGATTTTAACACTTATACGGCTTATAACACTAACACAATAGCAGTTGACCACCAAAATCACGACAAATAACAACAAAATAAAGTTTGACTTAAACACTGAAACACGTATTGAATGTGCGATCAAAGTATAGACTCTTATTTGAAAAGTTTTTATTTGTTTTCATAGTTTTTATTAGTTTTCGCTTTCGTTGAGACAAAAAAGATTTATTTACTTAATAATAGTCTAAAGAATATTCTGTTCACTGAATGATAGAATTGATTACTGTTTGCAATGAATACACAGTAATAGGGATGGGCTATCATAGGACAGGGATGTGAGCAGTTGTTAATACCCTTTTGAATCCTTATTTTCTTAGTATTTATAATGACATTGAACTTCAGTTCAGTATTAAGTCTGAAGTGAATATAATTGTAACGCAAACTGTATGTGATATTTGTCTCGTAGGAAATCACTATATTTAATGCTATATTGAATTACATGAAAAACAAATAAAAGTTATATAACTTTATTTTAATAGGATTTCATAATCAATATACTGTATGTCAGACATAAGTGTATATTCATTGAGAGTCTAGGAAATAAGGGATCATTTGTATAGATGTCTATAAATTATGTTTTGTATACAAAAACAAATAAAAGTTTTGTTTTATGAGCACTTTTTCGGCACTAATACGACAATAATAAAGATATATTACATAATATAATGCATTTACTTTGACATTTTATAAGCTCTACTATCACTCCAAGAATTTATTAAGTGTTTTAATGAATTATGTGTCAAATTTAAAGTGGATTTCATTTTTAGGTAAAATCTATATTTACATTTTACATATTTAATTTCTGTATATTTATTAATTTTATATTTAATCTTTATATTCATAAATTGTATTCTTTTATACATAATAATAATAATAAACTTGAATTAATTATATTTTTAAGTGTTATTAATAGTGTTCATATTTAATTAATTTAAAATGTTAAGTAATTTTTAAATAAATTCTAACAATATATTTTGTATATTACAATTACCTAGCATGTATATTACATTTTTATAAACAATTGCTAGTAAGTTGCATGCAAATCACAAAACTAGATGTCTCGGGTGATTTGACAGATAAATAATACACATTCAATAGACAACATACCATTGAAACTAGAATTGAGAAAAATGGCACAAAAAATACTTTTGAAAAATTCTGTTGCTTTAGTAGTTATTATTTTTGACACTTTTATGAAAAGCTAAATAAGAATTCATTTTTATTTTTCATCAGGGACGTGTCAATATTGTATTATTACACAGACTTTACAATTAATCCTTACTTCACAAAACCTGTCAATACATACCATACCATAAGTATAATCCTTATAAATAGTATAACTTATTCCTATATATACTGTATATATATACACACAGAATATTCTGTATAAATAACTCAAAATGTCTAGAATTCTGTCACAATAAATACACACCAAATAAAAGGCGATTTCTTATTTAAAAAATTGTTACAAAAAAGTAAAAAATGATTTCAAAACAACATTTTTCGGTCAAATAATTTTCAGAAAAAAGTATTTTTCAACCAAAAGACTGAACGGATTAGCGACGGATGACTGCAAATGACCGCAAAAGTAATAATCAGGTGTTATGGGCACCGGTATCAGGGGATGGGTATGCGATGGGAATACTTGGAAAGTACACGATTTTCAATAAATGCTTTCATAGACAGCAATCCATGTATTATTGAGTGGCTATATTGACACGAATGTATTATCTATGTATTTTTGCACTTTTTGTACACAATTTTTCACTTAACACCGAAAAACATGTGAGAAATCGATATACGATTGAAGTGTTTACGT